AGGCTACACTTTAACAAGCTCCTGAGGTTTTCCTACTTTTTTGAATGGAAAGGAAGACAGAAGAAAACTGATTTTAAAATATTTAAAAAAAATTTTTTTTTCTGGGCCACGCACAGCAGCATCTTTAATCCCAGTACTCGGGAGGCATAAACAGACGATTTCAAGGCCAGCCTGGTCTATATAATGAGTTCCAAACCAGCTAGACTTGTAAGACTCTGTCTCAAAACAAGTAAACAAAGCAAAACAACCTTCCTCCCCCAAAACCACAATTTTTGTTTTTAAAGTATCGAAACCAAACTGTTAGGTGTAGGGAGAAAGAAAGTTTCCTACCTTTAATCCCCTGGTTTGCAGGAGAAATTGGTTTGGTAGTTTCTACTACATAATCCAATATGCCTTGTGCTATTTCACTGTTGCCTTGAAGTTTGGTTTCCAGCAAAACTTTCTTTCTCTTTTTCTTCTGTCCTTCAATGGGAACTTCATGCAATAAAATCTTAGATGAGAAAAATGACATTAATACAAAGTTTAAAATTCACTTGCCTTAGAATACTATAATATACTACTATACCAGTAATACATTAATATATTATTAATATAATACTATTATAGTCTTTCTCAACCCTAGGTGCATATTGTAGAATAATCTATGAAGCTTTAAAATAATTCCAAAGCTAGTCTCCTCTCTGGATCCATTAAGTCAGAATTCATAGGCTCTGAGTACTAGGAGTTTCCCAGGTCAATCTACAGTACAAACAAGATTGGACAATGGTTTCTGACAATGTTACAAAAGCAATTTAAGCAAAGTATAGAAATTAGGCTGAGTAAATTGATTTTTTTCATTAAGTTTTTAAATTTTTCTCAGTTATCCCATAAATTATACAAAGACCTAAGTTAATAAACTTAAGAAAATCATGACTTTGTCTTTCTCTGTTTCTTTCATTTTGTAAACAGTGTCCCATGCAGCCCAGGCTGGCCTCCAGCTCCCCATCCCACCAAAGTCCACCCTGCCTGGTTTTATGCAGTGCTGGGACTCAAACTCTGAGATTTATGCATGCTAGCTAAGCACTCTATCAACCATTACATCTCAGGCCCCCAATAACTTTCTAATCTAATAATCCACACATGTAAATGAATACCAAGTTATAGAAAGGCACGAAGTAGAAAAAATATGCTTGGGTAGAGAGCTAGATTAACTAGCTTATTAATAACAATTACAGCATATGTTCATAATGCTTTATATGTAAATGGTAGTACAGAATGACATTCACTGATAGAAATCAAATGTTATCAGAATTTCTCACTTCATAGGACTTGGCTCTATATTCCCGAGAATTGAGACTGGCAGTATTCTTTGGACGGATAACTGCAACATACGCATCTTCTGTGTTTTCTGGATTTCCCATTGCTTAATAAAAGAAACAAAAAGTTCCTTGGAAGAGCAAATGACATAACTGGTGGCAAGGTAAGAAAAAAAAAAAGGCATTACATCCTGCTCCAGTAATATTCACTTTGCAAAACAATTATAAAATGTTGATTTCATATCTTATAATATTTAATACCTAAAAGACACACCATAGATGACTTTAATTTTATCTTCATCATCAAGAATCAAGTATCTGTCTTTGAGACTTAAAGATGTTATATAATTATAAAATATCTTATGAAGAAAACAACTTGAAATAATGGTTCAGAATAATGCACTCTTATTTTCCATAAAGTATACAAATAAATGTTAAGTTTGGAAGCCAGAAGAAGCTGGCTGCTTAGACCTACCGGCACTGTATAGCTTTCAGTAAGAAGATATTTGATTTAGACATTTGGATGACCTACCCTAGGTCTTACAATTTCCTTGGAAATGGCCACTGGAGATGTGAACCATTTGGTCAGTTGACAAAAGAAATATTTTCCATTTCTATTATCAATTCCCTAGATAAGCCAAAGTTTCTCATCTAAATATATTCACTGTGTTTATGTACAGAAACCTTCCTATTCCCCTAAAACTATTTTTGAGTCTCCATCAGGCAATTTTAGAAAAAGCAATTCAATTTCAGCTGTATATCTGACTGCTGAAAGTTCTCTTTGAGGAATGCTATTACTTTTTCACAGCTATACTAAAATATACCAAGCTTCTCTTGGATTGAATATCTTTTTCTTTTTTGACTTTGAAAGCCCCTAAGTTATATGCCAATAAATTTCTAAAAGAGCATCAACCAAAGAGTTTCTTTTCCAGTCACACTGATATGAACTTTCTTCAATTTTTAAAAAGGCCCATTAGTCATTAAGTAGGTCTTTTCATATTTAACGAGTCCCTAACTGCTTCAACTCCCAGGAGAAAAGAAAAAGCATTTTCAAGATAGAGTTTAAAATGTTACTTGAGAGGATATACATTATTCTGTTTTCTCAGATGCAACTGATATCACTTTGCTACCTTAACTCACTTTCCTAAAATTTAAAAATGCTTTGAGAATTTCCTTAAAATGAAAATCTTTAAAAATCCAATAATTTCTGGCACTTTAAATAAAATTTAGTCTAAAACCTTAACAGGTATTATTTCACAAACATTTGTCTTAATTTAAAAAAAGTTTTTAATTATAAAAGTTTTCATTGACTTTGTAACAAAGAAACTAAAGGCATTCCTTTTAATTAATTAGCTAACTTTATACCTGGATTGCAGTTTCCCTCCCTCTTCTCTCCCTCTCACCCCTCCTCTCTTTGTCCTCAGAGAAGGGGAGGTCTCCCATGAACATCAACCAGGTACATCAAGCTGCGGTAAGGCTAAGTGTATCTTCTATTGAGGCTAGACAAGGCAGCCCAGATAGGGGAAAGGGATCCAAAGGCAGGCAACAGAGTCACAGACAGCCTGAAACTATAGGTATTGCATTGAAGAAGCCTGAGTGAAACATTAGGATAAAGACATTTCACTTGTTTAAAGTTTTAAGAACAGATTCGTGGAATTTTTTTTGAGTTCAAATTTTTAATAAGATCATTCTAAAAACCAACTACATGAAAAAGAGCTGCTTACAGAACGTGAAAAAGAGGAGGCTTTTCTCAAAAATTCCTGTTTAGCAATTACTTTTCATCTCAGATTAACATTGACTACAACATAATAAACTATAAACACTAAGATATTAAAAATATATATGCTGCAAACCTCTTTAGAAGACACTGTATTGTAGGACTACAAAATATGGCAACAATGCTTTCTATAAAGCACCTAAAGGAGAAATTAAGAGGTTAACTTCCTACACAGAATTTAAACTAATTCTTGTCTCAATCAATTCACGGTAAGAAAATGTCTATTAAAGTGTTTCATTTGTTAATACTCATTATATATTTTAAATCATCCACTATTAACATATCTCTCAAATAGTATTCAAATTGATTTTCAAGTACTTGTACTGGAGCATTTAAAATAGTCTCCCAATGACATAAAAGGTTGAAGCCAGGAAAAGGACAAAAGCTACTAGCCATGAAGGTAAAGCTAGTGCAGCAGAAACACAAACGGACGGGCAGAGAGAACTAGTCAAAAGAAATAAAGGTATTGCTAATATGTTATATGGCTCAACGCAGTAAAGAAAATGCTCAGGCACAAACGATGTGCTGGTCAAATAATGAGGACCTAGGTAAGTGGAGATAGTTCATAACTGGGAACCTTATGACTGAGAGAGGAGAAGCGTACAATTGTCATTTAGTGCAGGGGGTAATACTCATACATACACAGCAGGGGGTAATACTCCTTTGTGGGTCAGTTGATCTGTTTGTAAACAAACAGTAAAGACACGCCAAGTTCTCCGAGGGTGGGACAGAAATGGAGCTGGAATGTTGAGGTAGGGCAGCTATGGAAAGGCTTCTGGTGAAGCTACAAACACCGAGGGGGCGGGGTTAGCAAAGCAAGCAAACCAAAGACCGTCCAGGAAGAACTCGGAAGGGAGAAAGGGGCTGCAATCCATAAGCTGTCACTCACTGTCCCGAAAACGACAACCCTCTGCCGCCACCCACCAACGTCCCACTAAAAGGAAAAACGAGAGCAGCTTTGCTCCAAGACTTCCCACCCAAAAGAAAGCCCTGACTTCTCCGCAAATGTTTGGAAGAAACAACACTCGTGCCAGCAGAACCTGGCTGGAGAAGTTCGGTGTCCCGCCCGTTTTCTCTAGCTGGAGTCTGGATCCTGCCTCTCTCTGTTTCCCAGAAGGAAATCGAGAAGCCTCACCCGGGCGAGCGGCGGAGCTTCTCACGGGCCGCTACATCCAAGTCACAGGGTGGGGCAGCAACCCGTGGATTGAGGCGCGGTCACCGTTTTCTCATCCTTCTGCCTTTCCGAGAGGCCCAGAGGCCCAACCCAACTTCCTGTGGCAGGAAGGCCCTTGGTTGTCACCAGAAGCCGCCCGCCCCGCCTTGGGTCCTCTGGGCACCTGTTCTCCACTGTCCTTCCCTCTCCTCAGCCCCGGCCACCCTTCAGCCTCTCCACAAACCCGGGGCCGCCCAGGCCTGGGCTTGCCTTCCCGCCGCTACCGGTGCCGGGGAATAACTTCCGGGGTTACGCGCCCCCGCCAGCCCGCTGGAGGGTGGCGGCGGAAGAGCTTCCGGGTCGGTGCGCTGGGTGCCGCCGTTCGTGCCGGTTCGTGCCGCTTCGCGCCGCGGCCGCAGCTGTGTGGGGCGGGCAGCGGGCGGCCGGGAGCCCGCGGGGTTGGCGGCTCCGGGGAGGAGGGGAGGACGGCGTCCGCGGCTGCGCGCGCGCACGGCCCGAACATGCGCTGGACTTGAGCGAGCGGCGGAGGCAGGCGCCCCCGCCCCCTCCTCCCTCCCCCGAGAGCGGCGGCGGCGGCGCGCAGCCGGGGAAGATGGGGGGCGCCCGCCCAGTGTGAGCTCGCCGGGCGCGTCGGGCTCGCGCAGCGCTTCCCGCGGGCCTCCAGCGCGCAGCCTCCGGCTCCCCGCAGCCTCCGGCGGCGGGTGGGTGGGGCGCGGAGTGGACCCGAGGTCACCCGCTCGGCGCGAGAGGCAGGTGGCCGCGGCGGAGGACGAGCTGCGGAGCCGGGGGAGTCCGCGCGACCCCGGTCCCCACCGGGAGGAGTAACCGTAAGTCTCTGCTGCGCGGCTCGGCTCCGGCCGGGGCGGTCTCGAGCCGCCAAGCTCACGCCCTTCCGCGTCTCCTGCGACCGTGCCCGTCGCCCCTTGTGTCCCCGTCCCCCCGAACGGGCGCGGCATCCTGTCCGCCCTACGGGGTTTTCTCGCGCTCACGGATTTGCAAGCTTTCCGCGCCGCGTCCCATCCTCCACACGCGTCTACGACGTCTGCACGCCTTGTCCCTCTGTCCCCAAAAGATTCGCGCCCTCCTTCATTTTCGGTAGAACCCCCGAGCTCGCAGACCCCCGCCACCCGTGTGGAGACGTGGGGAGTTTTGGGTTCCACCGACTCCGCGGCCCTGAAGTACTGAGGAGCGACTAGGTTAAAAGTGCCCGGCAGGACTGGCATGGGTGGGGATGGGTGCAGGTGGCACCATTAAACCCCGGTGTTTGTTGCTCTTGCCACCCAAACAAAAGAATGGATGCTCCTCCGTACTCCTCCCCCTGTATGTGTGAACTGTTCGTGCGTGGATGTTTCTTGAGTCCGAGTAAATCGGAGCTAGCCCCATAGTGAAGCCTCTCCTGAAGAAGGTTCTGTTCTCACAGGCTTCATTCATACGGAATGGCAGGTTGGAAAATCTTGTTGTTGAGATGACCCGTTCCCGGCAAGCTTTACTGGTAAATCTGAAGAACGAATGTGAAAACCTCTGAATTTAGTTAGTGTACTTTGGATACTGTTAATTTCTTACTGTTTTGATTACTGTTTGACTAGCCTTTTTCTCATTAAATTTTAGGTTGCTTCTGCAGAACTTCCCAGAAATTAGATTAAAATATAATTGTAATACTGTCAGTGATTGGACAATAGCTGTCGTGTGCCTTCATGCATTTACTACTTTTCAGGGCATTGGAGAAAGCAAATGATAATCTAAAAATAATGTTAGTGTGTATGTTGCAGGTTGGGTTACTGTTCTGTAAACTACTCTTAAGGTAGGGTAGTATTGGTGGGTTTTGTTGTTTTTCTTGAAAACTATTTACAAACTATATGTTTAGTCACGGCCCCCAAAAAACCCTTTTAGCAGTTGATCTTGGGCTTAACAGTCTACAGGCTTTAGTTGGAAGCAGGCTCAGAAGATGTAGCTCCAAGTCTCTCTGGAATGTACTTTACTTTTTGCACAGAAGCCTGTCACCGTGCAGACCTGAGTGCATTGTTGAAGGTGTGGCTTCTGAATGAGATCAGAGTGTTTTCATGAGGGAATGGACAGTTATGCAGAGCAATCTTTTGTAAGAAGTCCACTGATTTCTGTTATCTTTGGGACAAAGGGGAAAGATAGAGCCATATTTTCCTATTTTATGTGTTTTGTTCCCACACTGACAGCCCTGAGAATCTTAAGTTTGTGCTGTGAATGTGTCCTGAAGTCATGCATGCAGTCATAAACAGGTGCACACTGAGCCATGGAGATAAAGTGTTGTTAGCCACTCTTAGACTCCTATGACACCCTGACTTCTGAGAAAGGTGGTTGTCTTTCCTCTTCATTTCCTGGGTGTGCTCAATTGTGAAAGTGAAATGCATGTGTCTGTGCAGTTTATGGGGTAGGTAAAAGATCAGAGTTATTTGTGTATATGAGTAAATACAGTTGATGAAAGAAGTATGAATTAAGTGTCTGATTCTCCATGAACAGAAATGAAAGACTTTTCTCAGTGCTTTCAAGAACTTTTCCCTTTGAGGGTGCATATATCTTCATCTAGGTTAAATTTTGAAGTGTTTCTTTCAAATATTGAGAGTAAGCTCAGAATTGTCTCAACTGGAGGAGTTTCTTCGTATCCTAAAAATACTTAGGTACCTTATTAACCTTTTCAAAATGACCTAACAGTGAGTTTTGGATTTCTCAGCATGTTTTTTTTTTTTTTCCAAACTTCCTCTTCCCTCCCCACCCTAGATAGTTTACTTTATGAGTTATTTTATTACTTCATTTCTTCAAACCTAGAACTGTGTGTGAAAATCAAGGTTTATGCGCTACCTCTACAAGGATAAATATGTCAAGATTCATTTTCTTATTGAATTTACCAATCTAGATGTTTGACTGAGATTCTATATAAATGCGTTGGAAAGTTTTGGTTCTGCAATAAAAATACTTGAGACTTGAAAGTAGAAGTTGGATGTATGGTTCAGTAGCATTTTGATATAGTTCAAACCAATGGTTTCTTGGATCCCCTAACATTTTTAGAAGCACAGTTTTCTAATGCTAACACTTTTCTCCCAGTGTTCATTTGTAATATAAACATGTTGCTGGTTTTTAAAAATCAAAATCTGTTAACAGCTTTCTCTTATTTTGGCCAATAGCCTTTACTACTAATTACATTCTTTTCTGTTTTTGAGATTTTAGAGCAGATCATTAATATTTCTTGAATTTTTAAAAAACAGCAACACTTGCTATTTTCTCTATTCTGTCATACATGCATGTATACGTGTTTCATTTGTAGTAAAAAATTTTGATATTTCTCAACTCACTGTGTTTTTCTGATTGGAATGATGCTGGAATTAGAATTCCTACTCAACAATGTAACAGAGACAAAACTATAAATGTATTTGGTGCTTGTCCTATAAAGTTGAGGAATTCAAGATTTTCTTTATCATTGGGTTGTAATATGGTCACTTTAAATCCATGAAGAAAAGGCCTGTTCAGATGCCTTTGGTGCATTGAAGGTGTAAAAGTATTGCCTTCCTTGTTCATGCATCCATTTAATATTGTAAATGAAGGTGTATAAATGCTTTAAACCAAAATTTTCATACTGTTTCTGGTCTCAGACACCTATAACTGGCTCCCATTTTTTTCTACCAGCAGGTATTATACACTACATCTTTCAGAATTTTAACAATAGTTTTGAAATGATTTCAGGTTACTTGAATTAGAAGTAATTTAAAATTCAGAAGGTGCTACCAGTACAAAGAACTGCCATTGTATACCTTCACTCAAATATCTTTCATTGTTGATAATCTGCCACATTTCTTTAATTGCTTACCATTACTGTCTCCATGTATAAATGCTTATGTTCAACACATACAATTTTATCAGTCTTTTCTGATATCCTGAGGAAGCTTCAGACGTGTCCCTGAAATAGTAGTGTCTGCTTTCTAAAAAATAAAAATAAAAAAAAGCAGTGCTATATAACCAACATACTACCATTCAAAAGTACATACAGTGTTTAGTTTTTTCCAGACATCTTTGGCCTCAGTTTCCCTATCTTCCATATCTTTGGCAGTTTTGTAAAGCATAAGCCTCCATTTTCTAGCATAACCCTTATCCTAGAACTATGAACTATTTCCTCATGCTCCCAGCCAAGTGATGCTTTGCTGACAGAAATATCACAGAAAAGATGCCATGTCCCCTCAGTGAATTTCATCCATAGGCACACAGGGCTAAACCATATCACTAGCAATGAACATAACAAGATATAATTGTGGAAATAAACTCTAAAAGTGTGTCATTATCTTATTTCTTATGAAGCCTTCTCTTGCTGGCTTAGTATTATTGATGACTCCTACCTAAATTAACTACTTTTGTGATGATTAGCAATTACTGTTTATTTCCATTGTCACTCTGCATGCTCTTTTCTTCCTTTTTATTAATTAAAATTAGAGATTAAAGGCTTTGACTTTATGTGAGGTGTTGTAAGTTGTTACTGTTTTAACCTATTGTGCTATTTCAATTGTTCTTAGGCTAGCTAGGGGGAGCATCTTTAAACTGGCTGTTATGCCCATTTATCATACTCCTATCTGGTTCACTGTGCATTTCCTTTCTGGCAGAATAAATTGTTCCTGATTCATCTTGTGCTTTGCTTGCTCTACCACTGAAATCATTTCTACAGGAGGCTGGCTTTTGCTTTCTGGTTTGTAAAGATGGGAGATATTTATAACAAAGAATTGGGAGCTAATGCTCATTGCCAGTGGAGTATGAGTACTTCCAAGTCCTTTTGCTGTACATGATAGATGGTTTGTATGTACATACGTATATAATACTCTCATATACATACTTTTTTGTTTTGTTTTTGAGTCATTTTCTAGACTAACCTTAAATTTACTCTATAGACAAGGCTGAGTTTCATTCCTAACTTCACAAAACAACAACAAATTAGTGGATGTTTCCTAAGTCCTGAGAAATGAAATGTAGATTGTCTGGAGCTGTATGTTGGCTCCACGATGCTGTCAATAATACAACTCATTTGTCTTGTTGTTTAGTCATCCTAGCTTATCACCTTGTGGTCTTAAGATGACAGTCCATGCTGAGTAGAAGCTTCTTTCTCTTTCCTCTCATCAGCCATGCCTCTGCTTATTTTAACAGTATCATAGCTAGTAATCTCTAGAATGAAGCCATTACAAAAGAGTCCTGCCCTCTTTATACCCCGGAATAGTTTCTTTTGAAATTTTTCCCTCTTCTTTTAGAAAATAATGCAGATTTGGCTTCATGTAACATGAATTTATAGTTAGATTAAGAACTGAAAACTTTTCTCTTTAATCTCAATCTCTTTCTCTTTCTCTCTCTCTCTGTTTGTCACAACAGGGTTTCTCTGTGTATCAGAACCCTGGCTGTTCTGGATTTGCTTTGTAGACCAGGCTGGCCTCAAACTCAGAGAGATCTACCTGCTTCTGCCTCCCTGAGTGCTGGGATTACAGGCGAGTTGCCTCCATGCCTGGCCCAGTTGCTATAATCTCTTGAGTTGCCACACTTAAAAGGTTTTCATTTCTCCCCTCAACTTATTTTCAAATAGAGATAAACATGATTGATTATGTTATCAAATTGGAAGCTGATATTTTGAGGAACACTGAAATTTATCATTGTATACAATAAATAGTGTTAATTAAAAATATCTTTAGCTCTGTTCCCCATTTTTTAAGTGGATTACTTGGTTTGTTGCTTTTCAGCTTGTTTAGTTCTTTATATATATTGGATATGAGTCCTCTGTCAGATAAAGGGTTGGTGATGATTCTTTCCCAATCTGTAGGCAGTCATTTTG